ATTTTGTTTAAATTGCATTCAAGTCTATTCCACAAATTATATTACCTTTCTCTATCATAAACTGTTTCATTATAACCATAACGACTATGACTATGAGTGCATTGAAATGCATATAATTTTATATCTTCTACATCTACCTATTTAAAACTATTTTAATCATTTTTTCATAATTTTTTTTTTTTTTATTTACTATACAATTTCCATTTTTAGAATACCAGGGTTTTGAATACTAACTTAGTTATTGTTACATATATATATATATAATTCAATATACTCGAATGAGGGTTTTTACATGATATAGTTAGGAATTCATAAAACAACATTTTGACGTAACGTATGTCTTTTTTGAGAGTAGAGAATAACCGAAATATTATTCATTGCCTATTGTAAAAATTTAATGAAAATTTAGATTATTTTATTTTACGAAAGTATGAAACTATATTTCATAATTCTATACACTAATAAATTAAAGAATGAACTCGACAAGCATTTCGTGTTGTTTTTAAACGTATGGAAATTATTAAAAACTGATATTTTTGGTTTTATAATTACGTTTTTTATTTAAAATTTCTTCTCAAACTCTCTTTTATGTTTATTATTATTGTCAACAAAGCTAAAGTTATATAATTTAAAATTAAAGTAAATAAAATAATCATAATATTAAACGAAACCTTGGTAATTAATAAATCTTTGCAGAAATATTAAGCATTTGATGGCTCCGAATTACTTCTTTAGCAATATTAAATACTCTAAATATTGTTGTTTTTGAATAAAACGTTGAATACATTTTATTATAATGCATGAAAGATTATATAATAAGTTAATTTATAACCAGGGACGTACATGTATATATTTTTGTTTTATAGATATTAAATTACATTACTTAATTTTAATGTTCATTAATATAATTTTTAATAAAATAATTTAAAATAAAGGTCAACTATTATTGTTATGGCTTGGCATCAGTAACACCATCACATATTTACCAATGTTAGATGCATAATATTAAACAAAACATTAAAGCCTTAAATATTTAATAAAATATTTAAAATTTATTTATTTTATTTAATATTTATTTATTATAAAATAATTAAAAAAAAAATTTTTTTTTTAGAATTTGCCATGGTTAACATCGTTATATATTGGATTTAATATTATTAGAGAACTCTATACGATTATATGATAAAAATAGATACTCAAAATAAAGTATTTGCATTTTATATTGATAATAGTTTAATGTAATATGTTTATGAAAAAAAGTTAGTTGATAAATTAAAATCATTAAATTATAATAATATGTTTACCTAAAATGTGTTTATATTAATGTTACGCATTATAAATTATTAATAATTCTGTTGGCATAAATGGTCATCGTCGGGAATTATATAGAATAATGTATTAGTGCAGATTTTGACATTTTCAATTAAAATGTAAGCTTAATATAATTTTAAAATAAAGTTCAGCATTCGGAATTTACTTTCTTAGTATATGATTAGTGAATGCGGAAAAAATTTAACAGCACAAAAAGTTTCAATGCGGTATTCATCTCAATAAAAGAGTAAAAGATTAAATAACTGCTCTTTGTCAAATAAAGTTTTTGTGTTCCATTGCCGCAACTATAAGTATTCAGTTATATATATATATGTATATACAGTAATACAGGAGATGCCGGAATAACAGCTCAGCATTTTTTACAAAAGGAAACTTATGAAAATCGAATTGTTAAACTGATTTCAAATAAAATTAAATGAAATTTTAATTAAATAGATAATAAAATGTTTGTAATTACCTAAGAGCATGATTGTGCAATATGATAATACATTTCTTATAAACCTCGATTAGCCAAATAAATAAGAATTAAAAAGAATATCTACAGTTTTTTATTTCAATTATATTTTAAAATGTCAGTAACCAGTGAGTGTAACATTATCGATTATTATCCATTGTGTTTTCATCAAAGGTTTTTAATATTAATTTGATAAAATATAGAATTTCATATTATAATTGTATATGTCTTTTTCTAGTCTTTGATTTTGAATTTATTTAAATTAAAAATAAACAAATAGAAAATGTAATAAATTAAAGTGAAGTTTAGTTGTAAGACATAATTTCATATTTATTTTATATTATATATTGTCGGTAATGTAGTAGAACGTATACGCTGGTTTACGAGGTATAACGATTTCTCTATTTTTGATTGATGCATATACGAGTATGTATTATATCATTTGTGCTACGAATGTATACGAGTAGCTATACTATAAACTTTAAAGCTATAAAAAGCATTAACGAATGTTGATATTTTTTTGTACAAAAATCAAAAATATATTTCCTTGTTAGTACGTTAGAGATAGGTGTGGATTTAGAAATTAAAAAGGAAGAGAGCTAGTAAAGTGAGTTACTGCCATAATTTGTTACACATGTCGATTTGTACAAAGTCTTTCTTTCGTCTAAATTTTTAAAGTTTTTTAAGTACCTACGTCCGATATAGTTCTACCTAATTTCTAACGGGGGATTCAGCCCTCAAAGCCCCTCTCCTCTTGTATCCGCACCTAGTTAGAGATATAGTCGAATTACATTAATTGGGGACGGTTATTATTAATAAATTAAATTAATAATATACATTTTTGGAAAAATACACTGGCAAAAAAAAATTCCAATCGTTACTACTTTACGAAAAACATATGTAAGTGATTGCTAAGATGTTGTGAAAAGTATCAGAAATTATGTAACTGGTAAAAACCATATTTCATAACTGCAGCACACCTACCCCCCGTAAAACAATCAAAATATTACATTCATACTTTGAGCATTTTTAATCATATTTGTTTTATCTATAGTATAATATACTTTTCTTTCGTTGGTTTTTTTTCATTCTAAATTATCAGACTATAGCATTCAGATTAATTTAAGTTCTGAATCCTTAATCTGTTAGATATATAAAATTTACACAAATACTCAAGGCTGGGCAAGTTAACGATTTTTTTAACTCGTTTAGTTAAGTTATTTTAAAATAATAAAGTTAAGTTAAATTAAAAGTTACTCATATTTTTTTCGTTAACTCGTAAAGTTAAAAATTAACTTTGAAAAAAAAAGTAATTTAATTTAAAGTTAAGTTACTTTTTTACTTAATTTAAAGTTAAAATTTTTTAATTTGCAAAAATAAAAAATTGCACACATAATATTAGTTTTTTTACGCTCAAGAAAATTACTGGGGAAATTTAAAATGATACATAAAAGTATTAACTAGCTATAAAAAAACCTACTTTTCTAAAATAAATCTTAGTCCTGAACTAATATTCAAATCAATATACTCAAGTGGTACATCCAAAAATTAAAAAAAAAAAAACACTATTGATAGTTTTCTTCTAACTGTTAAGATACCAATATTTTTAATTGATTTACACAAATTTTAAAAATCAAATAGGCAGTACCTACTACCCAAATATACTATATACTATATACTAAATACTGAGTAGACAAAATGCAGCCACCGTGTAGTTCAAATACTAGGCTCAGCACAACATGGATAATTATTATCAGTCAAAATATAATTATTTGTGTTATATTTTTAGATAAAATAAAACAAATGTTAAACCTTTAATAAATATCTTAAGCAATTACATATTTTGTAAGCTTTACATTTTTTGTACAACAAATTTACATACCTATTATAGAATATAAAAAATAACTGTACATTTAAAATACTTAATTATATTTATAGAAGTTTTCTTTACATACTTATGAATTTTTATATTATACAATTATTTGAAGTTTACCAATTTTGTACTTCCACTGTTGCTAAACATGGTAAATAATAAAAAAGTTGAGTCATGACTACAGTAATCATTGTTGAAAGTTACCACATATCATTTAGGTAACATAAATAAGATAATCAATAATCTCCTTTATGTGGCTATATAACATATAACATATATGAACAAAACACATGCTAGTTGAATAATGAAATAATATTGGAAATTATACCACAGTTGTTTTGTGATTAATCCCTCATCGACATTCACTCTTATGGTATTTACTATTTTCACAGAATATTTTTAGGATTTCCATGGGTTTATGGTGTGTATACAATAACAATGTTATAAAAATATAATGATAAAATATAGCCCATATAATGACTATTAAAGTTATATTTCATGTTATTTTTCTAGTAAATTTTTATAGTAAATTATAAATATACTAAAAACCTCATTTAATAATTTGCGTTATTCTTTGCACTAAAATTAAATTAATTTAGATACTTTTAAATAAAATTAACTTAAAGTTAACACGTTAAATCTTAAAAAAAAAGTAACTTATTAAGTTAAAAGTTAATTTGTAAAAAAAAGTAACAAATTAATTAACTTCATTAAAATTAACTTAACGTTTTAACTTAATTTTAAATTTTAACTCGTTAATGCCCTGCCTTGCAAATACTACATGGTGCGTTAATAAGCACATTAAGCACCAACTAAATACTACTTTAATTGTATACCTATGGTAAGTATTAATTATAATAAGTAAATTAATTTTACTTGATATTTTGGGTGTACTTCTTATTGTACATTTTTACATTGCGATCTGTATCATATTTCAAGTCATTAGTACATTGACTAGAGTAACTTATATGGGTGTTAGTATACTGTATACCATTTACCATCACTCAAAACACCATGACCAAAACAAAATATGTTTTATGACTATAAAGCATGGAAATATAATTATCAAGTATGATGATTTGATGATTTAGAATAAATAATATGCATGATTTGGGAGTACAAGACTAAATTTAAATACTAGGGTCGAGATGTGATGTAATCAAGATTGCTTATTTTGGTTTTATTACTTAGTATTTAATATCGAATACGAAAACAATAGAAAATCACGTTATATCGAAAGAAAACTTATTTATATGTATTATAATTTCAAAAAATCTGAATAAAAACCTATATGATTTTATGTACATTAGTAAAGGTTTTATTACGATTTGTTATTTTTAGGTGAAAAACAGTATTCGCGTGTTGCGAGATAATGTAACCACGGATCTGTGGATTTACACTTTCAACGATTTGGTGCTTAGAGAAGACAATTTCACAGATAACGTGGCCAAAAGGTTGATGAAGTTTGAAAAAGATTTGATTTATGCAATTAAGCGTAGTGGTTGGGACGGTGAAGAAGGCCCTGAAGTAACGCAATGGACTTTCACTGGTGCATTATTTTACTCAATAATTGTTATTACGACTATAGGTAAGTGAATCCACGATCACAATTTAAGTACATTTTTAAGTATAGATTATGCATATTAATAATTATTAGATTTATTCCACTGTACGATAATATTTTATTTTAACGCAGAATGAATGATAATGTACTCATAGTGTAACCACATTTTTAAACGTTTAATTATATACATATGTATTTGTTTATTAATTAAGATATTCATAAAAAAAAAACTTATAATTTGGTATTCAATTATTTTTGTTTTTTTATTAAACTTTTAAGTTTTGTTTATTACTCGTAAATGTAATACTAAAAATTTATATCTTTGAAATGTTTAAAAAAACAACTCTAAGAAAAACTAAATTATTACGATACTGATATATTCACAGTATTTTTTAAGTAAAGAAACCAAAGTTAAACTTTGTATTAGGTGAATTTCTAAGTTTTAATAATGTTGGATAGTTTATCTATTAAGTTTTAATAATAGTTTATTAACGATAAAATGTAATTAATTAAAATTTATCAAACGTAATAATTATTATTCAAACAAAATAATTGTATATTTTCTGAATCTTTCTCACATGTTCGCATTGATGGCATATACTTTATTATTTATTACGTTTTATTTTTGTTATTTAATGGATATAAAGTAACTGACGTATGCCTTGTTTTAAAATTAAGTCAACACCATAATTAATTTATGTTTTATATATAAACAAAAAATTTATTATGTCAAAAAGAAATGACAGTTAGTTTTAAATAAATAGCTGTAGTTTTGGTTTTAACTTAATAATAAATCATATAAATGTATTTAATATAATTAATTATATGTTATCTTACTTTACCCTTAATTCTTGAAGTGTTGATATTTTAATATAAATAAATATTAGTTTTTGTTTCATCATTGACAAGTTCATGAACACTAGCATTTAGCCCCATCTATGAAATTCCTTACTTTTATGAAATATTTAATTTAAAAACGATGTATTTATCCAATACTAACAAAACCAACAAAATAAAATTACATTATATACTGGTGTTTATTAAAATATATGGATAAACTTTGTAATAAACATTTTAATATAATATGACTTAAATGTTTATTTCGCTTATAAGTCGTAAGTACCTAATAATGTCAGTCGTTCACTATGCAAGGAAAATAAAATTGTTTTACTGTGTACTCGTACATTTTATTTATGGTTTTTAATGATTTTTTTTCAATAATGAATGGTACTATAGTTAATCTAACTCAACATTTTTATATTTTATTCCGTAATAAAGTAACATTCGCGAATATGTTTAAGTTAAAATTTAAATAACATCATTAACATCACTAAAATTAGCCTATAACATAATATAAGTAAAATAAAATAATATAACTACCAGGTGTTGGTTATCTTAGAAACTCCCAACGCAGTTTATAATTTAAGTAAGTTACAGATTGAATAAGTTCTCAAAAAACTTATTCCAACATAATTTATCATTAAACTTTTGTAAGAAAGGTAATAAAAAAGTATTTTGTTTTATCTGTTTACAATATATATACTAAAAAATGACTAAAGCTCTATTTTTATTAGAAGTAATATTATTTTTTTAACATACTGCATTTTTTTTTATATTGAAAATAATCCATTTATGTTTCTTAAGTACAGGTAAGGATTTTTTCGTAATCTAAATTCAACATGATATAATATATAAATAACTTTAAGTAGTTAACTAAATATATTTTAAAAAAAGAATATTTTACATTACATTCAGAAAATAATTTCCAACAGACATTTTAAAACTAATAGTTTCTTACGGTTTTTACTGTAAAATTTAATTTTCACAGATTATAAAATGTTTAACATTTATTGTAAATTATAATTTTATTAATAAATAAAAAACTGAATGATATGACTAGAGCCCGGAATTATATGCACTAAAAACGTACAAAATATGCATGCATTTATGGGATGATTATCATTCAAGTATGCACTTAAAATATGCAAAAATATGCGAAAATCTG